TGCACCAAACTCCAGCCAAATATTCACCGTTTCTACAGTCGTTAATATCCACGAATTGTGTTTATGTATTTTTATCCTGTTAAATATTGACACCAACATCACTCGACATCACTTTGTCTTATAAAAATCGTTCACCATTTTTGCTGTCTAACATTGGTTGTTGTGTTTTTGTCCTGTAGGTGTGGAAGTATCCCAAGGTGTGGGAGGGATTTGTGAAGTGCTGCCAGAGGACGAAGCCTCAGTCGTTCAGCGTTCTCCTACAGCTGCCGCCCGCACAGCTGACCAGCGTGTTCGAACGCTGCCCGGAGATGAGAGAGCCTCTTCTACAGCACGTCCACTCCTTCACACCTCATCAGGTAAAGGGACCTCTTCCAAGTTTACCGAACAATCAAAACAATTCTACTCCTCTTAGGATTCCTTATGTATGAACTGCCTCTGTGTTTCTGTGCAACAGCAAGCTCACATACCGGCCTCCATCATGGCAGTCCTGGAAGCAGATAAAAAACCAGAACCAAAACCTGTGGAGCCTGACGTGGAGAAAGAGGTAACTTATAAAGACATAAACATGATTCATGAGGCCTGAAGCACGTGTTTCCTGCCATATATGGACATCCTTGAGTGACCGTTTACCATCCTCTTTTTTTTTTTTTCCATCATACAGATGGAACCAGCTACTGCCACGGGTGAAGAAGAGGCTCCTAATGCTGCACTAGAAGAGTCCGAGACACCCGCTCAGGAACATCCAGGCGACATAAAAGATGACGAAGAACCAATGGAGCAAGAAGAGTCTGATCCTGTGATACAGGAGGAAACTGCTGACACGGTTTCCCAGGTGAGATCAAGTTCCAATCAATTGCATTAAGTTACACCAATTAGACCTTTCTATCTGTACTTGCATGTTAAATGTGTATGGCTCAGTAACCTACACTTGTCATGGAAATCTGGTACAGGAGGAAAATGTCATTTAAAGTCTGAAGTTCTGTTTATTAAATAGTTTACATGCATTCATTTAGATGCTAAAAAATATACAGGATGGCAAAATATGTAAGGTTGAATTCTTTTTAGACCAGATTTTTGGATTTATATGCAACATAATCAACAAAAAACTACTCTATGCTGCCCCTATTTATCTATTTTATTAGCCTTTTACGCTAATTTGTGTTCCTCTTCAGGTGGACTTGACGAGAGAAGAGGAGACGCCACCACCATCATCTCAACCCGAGCCAGCCGAGGAACCGATGGAGGAATCTCAGCCTGAACCTTCAGACCTCCAGGAGCCAGAGAAAGATGTTGAAGCTGACGTCACAGGACCGGAGGCTGGAAGCAGCAGCGACGACGTAGAATGACAAAAGCACTCAAAATAAATGGACATTTCTCTCCTCTGCCCCACAGATGTTTAGGATTTCTTGTCAAGAAATATCTTTGTTCTTTTTGTATTTGTAGAAAACTGATTTTTGAGGGGGGAAAAAATCAAGGTAACTGTGTGTATGAATGATGTACGTTCATGTCATAATGCGTTGGCAAATAAATGAAGAAAACCCTTTTTTACTGTCTGCTTCAGTTCTGTTTGGTCCGCTTTGGTTTGGCATGAGATAACAGTGTTTGGCTTTGACTTTCAGGTTGTGGTCAGTAGTGTGGGTGCGGCATGTTTTACAGAAAATGTCAATATTTAAAAAATAATTGTGGAAGAACAACTGGACACGCTCAAAATATGTGTGTTAGGGTCCATCTGTCACCTGCAAGTGTATGTATATTATTTTTTACATTTTATTAAGTTAATTGAGTTATTATTAATGAGTTAAATACAATAAGTTTGCATACATATGTACAGAATTTAAATTTTGTGGGTCACATTGAGATCAGATAAAAAAAATAACCTTTGATTTTAACTGTATTGGACCAATATTTATGTTCATACACTCAATACTCCTGCTAAATGTGCCTGAACACCTTTTTATTGACCAGCTGCTTTAATTAAGATAATAAAAACGTTCTTTCCTCGACAATCACCGGAAGAAGCCCTACTTTTACTTTGAAAATTACAACTGGAAGCGCTCAGTTCTCGCGAGATGAGTGTGACCTGGTGTATTTCTCAACTTTCCACCATTCTCGGTGCTTTATAACTTTTTTTTTTTACTCTGCGAGCAACCGACCAGCTCACACCGATAACACCAGTGAGCGGCGTTTCTCCCGGTGCAGAGGTTAAATGAAAGCCGTAATTCTCGCCGCCGGGTACGGAACCAGGCTCCAGAGGGATGTGGTGGCCGACAGCAGCGGGAAATTCGCTCACCTGGCCGGCGTCGCCAAGCCGCTGCTGCCCGTGGGACGGTGCTCGTTGATCTCCCACTGGGTGCGTTCACTGACCGCCTCTGGCTGTGTGGACTGCATCTATGTGGTTGTAAGTTGTTAGTGTGCACATTTATAACAGCTATGCATTGAAACAAAAGTATAAAGCAGTTAAAATGTAACTGCATGACTTTATTGATTATACTGCATCAATAATAATAATAATGATCATTTAATGTGTGATAGAAACATGACACAATAAAAGGAGCCAGTCTACATTATGAGTACATTTTGCATACATTTTTGTCAACTATTAAATTTCAACTACTGATAATCATTTGGAGTTATTTTTTTAAAGAAATAATGTCCAGCTTGTCTGATTTCAGTTTCTCAAAAGTGAAATGTTCTTGTTTCTTTAGTCCTCTATGACAGTAAATAAAATATCTATGGGTTTGTGGATAAAACAAGACATTTGAGGGAAACAGTAATCAACATTTTCTGACATTTTATGGACCAAACAACTAATCGATTAACTGAGAAAACCATCGACAGAGTAATCGATAATGGGACTAATTGTTAGTTGCTTCCCTGATCCCTGATATAAAGGTATAAACCTCTCTTTCCTCTGCTCTCCTCTGCACAGACTAACGCTCTTTATCACGCTGCTTTTGAGGAGTGGGCATCACATTTCACTAACGTCAAGATTCTCAACGATCAGACGAGAAGCAACGAGGTAAATACATCTTTACAATGATTGTTTTTAGACCATCCTCTGGCTCAGTAACCAAGGTTCAAGTCCCACGTTGCAGGCATGTGCTGAACAAGTCAGTCAGGCTTCCTGCAGGTCTCAACTGGTCAAATGTAAGACTTTTAAAGACCAGTATGAATGCAGTTTAAAACTATTTTACGTCCATATTGGGGAAGAAAGTGCAAAGGTTGGATCCATGTTGGTGCTGTTTAAGAGTTGTTACAGCATGATCAATACAAATGTTTCCCCAAAAAACACATTTAAAAGACTGAAAACATTCAATTCATACAAGTAACATTATCTTTTCTAACATTTTTAAGGCCTGAAATTCAGATTATAGGATTTTAAGACTTTCTAAGAGAAGATTTCTTCTCCCATGTTTGAGAATGGATTTAGGTTTCTTTAGACCAACATATTCTCTTCCAGGATTAAACCTCTAAATCAAGCTCACGCTCTTATTCCACCAGGGCCGTCTTGGTGCTGTGGCCTGCCTGCAACTTGCAGTGAAGCACTTCAAGATAGAAGACCACGTCTTGGTAATAGGGGGGTAAGTTTAATGAGATATATGCAGAGTTGTGGGTTACAGCTGTGAAATTAAGGCCTGTCAAACTGATGCATCTCCCTTTCCATTCCCCGCAGTGACACCCTCTTCAAAGAAGATTTTAGCCTCACTAAAGTGAAAGAGAGGTTTTCTGACCTGCAGGCAACATGTGAGGACAGCTGTCTGGTGCTCTCCTACCAGTGCAAGGAGGAGGGTGAGTTGTTAAGGCTGATGGGAAGGGAATTAATCTACTGGTTTGGCCTCATGCTCACAATTAGTTCTGTGTTGTGTCTGTACAGAAACCCGTAAATACGGGATATTGGAAGTAGACGGTGACCTTCGCGTCCTCTGTATGAAGGAGAAACCTCTTCCTTCTGAGACAAAGTCGAGGAGAGCAGTAAGTTCCCCACTAACACTGAACAAAGCCTGCCAATAATGTCCAATAGAGCCTGTCTATGTGGATACAAAAGATCTGACAAAACACCTGAAAACTCTTACTTTTACTCTCGAGAACAGCAGCTGGGAATAGAGAAATCTATATATATATTACTGATTTCCACCTCTAGTTAACAAATGGACCTCATAGATATAGCATCATTTCATATGATGATCCTAAAACTCTGACTGCACTGTTTGTTGAGAAGTGAACACACCACATCCACATTGACATCAAGGAACCTGCATCAATCTACTAATAAATACCTTCAACTTGATAGTGTGAGAAAGAACAGACCTGAGATTAAAGTGAAGTGAGCATCCTCTAAAAATACCTGTGATTTATATAAACATGTGAAGGTTACAACACGTACACTGTACGTTATTTACACTCACACTAATGTTGTTGTCTTTCAGTGTCCCTGTTTCTATGTGTTTCCGAAGAAAAGCCTCCAACTGTTGGATGCATTCATTGAGGAGAAGAAGGTACATTTATTTACTGATCAAACATCCCTCATGTGATGTCAATTAAGACTAAATTATATATTTTTATTTCACTGTTATGCACAACTTTTTATTTCCACAGGAGGCTCCTATTGATGAGAAAGACGCCCCAGGAAACTTTGTGTCGTGGCTCATTCCAAGGTAATTTCTGCTGGGAGTCAGGGGTCCAGGTTTTACTCAGCAACGTTATCCAGATACTTTTGTAATCCTGCTTTGTGACAGTAAGCGGGTCTTCTTTTCCATTTGATTTGAATCTATACAATACTCTTTATACATGTAAATATATGTGGATACTCTGGTAAAATTAATCCACATTTTACATCTATTTGTTAGTGTGTTTCTCAATAAATGACTCTGTTGTTGTTTTGTGTCTTTCAGGAAGCCAGTTTACGTTCATCAGATTACTGGCCGTTTCGATGTTGGAAACCTGCCTTCATATATTGAATGTGACCGTTACTTCAGAGAAAAACTTCAAGATGTCGAGTCTTACATGGTTTAGACAAACACCACATTTATTGTGCCACATTAAAAAAGTATCCAGGACAGAAGAAAAACAATCAAATGTGAAATCTTGGCCAATTTCAAGAATCTTTAACAGTAAATCAAGAATTTAAAATGTAAATATGTCTTTAAATATGAACTGTATGTAATTTTATTTTGAAACTTTTCTATTAAAATTATACATTATACACCCAATGAGTCGTCTACCCAGTGAGGAGTCTTGTGCATTTGTCAGAGGCCTTTTCACGTCTGTCCTCCATCTTTGCGATGCGGGAGCCGAACTGCATGGCTCTCTTGGGCAGGACGGCTGATTGTCCGAGGCCCAGCTGCTTCGCCGCCAGTCTCAGGAGGAGTTTCTCCCCGACGCCGCGAGGAAGCGACAGATCTGCCTTCTCCCACACCGGCAGAGAATTCAAGTAGTTCACCACGTCCTCATCCAAGTAGGGAAATCTGCAGATACCGGAGTAATACTCGTCAGATACTACGAACCGAACAATGGAGGTGAACGGAATCTCATCTGCAGAGCTCACAGCACTGAACTTTTTGATTTAAACACATATTTATATATATGTGGATATTCTACAGAACACACAACAACAAACCTGAGACAAGGTCCAATCAGGGACAGTAAGTAAAATAACCTGTGTGAGTGAACCATGAAAGGCCTTAAAGCTACAGCAGGTAACTTATAAGAATAACTTTTTGTTGTATTTACTGAAACTCAGTTCACATGTCCAGATATCACATCATGTAGTAACATTTACACTAGTAAACAGATAACCACACTTGCCTCGCCTCTTTCCCATGGTCCCCTATCACTCGGTCATCTCTGCCCAAATTCCTGGAAGAGATCCTGCCCAGCTCCATGGCCAGTTCCTGGATCAGTCCCTCGTATCCTGACATCTTAAATCGCACTCTGTGTCTGGAGTAACCGGCGAGCTGCTCGTCTGCTCCGATTCCCGTCAGAATCACCTGCAGTCACCAAGCAGCAGCACAGAAAAAGCAGGTCAATGTGGCTGTGGAGGATTGTGAAACATCTCTGCAATGCAATTTATTTTTGGTTTTATTAACAGTAAGAAAAATAAGCATCAATTATTTCCCTACTGTTTATCCCTCAGCTCACATGCTATTAGGGTTGCAACAAACTAAAAGTTAACAAATTATCGATTCAATTGTCAATTTATCAATGAGTTGTCTGGTGAAAAACGTTGATCAATGTTTCCCAAAGCCCAACATGACGTCCTCAAGTGTCTTGTTTTGTCCACAACCCAAAGATATTCAGTTTACTGTCATAAAGGACTAAAGAAAACTGAAAATATTCACATTTGAGAAGCTGAAATCAGAATCGTTTTGAGACATTATTTTAGAAAAAAATGTCTCACAACGATTGTCTAAACGGTTAGCAGTTAATACTTGTCAATTAACACTGGCTCTAAATGTCAGTGTAAACAGCCCAGTTCAACCCCTCTGCACTGGTAATAAGTTCAACTGAGCTCAGAAGCCTTTGTCCCTGGGGTCTGATGTTTGCACTTCACCTTTGCCGACGACGTGAAGGGCCTCTGGTCTCTGTCCTCCGTGACGAACCCCGTCCCTCTTGCCGCGAACCACACAGCACATCCAATGCTGTCATCAAGCACAGTCTCCAGAGGATGCACCAGATGACAAATTCGCTCCTCGCGCATTTTCTGCAGCTCCTCCTGCGTCACGTTGATTTCAACAAAATTCCATCTTCTTTCAGGATTCAAGTCTTGTAATTCCTTGAGACCGGCTCTCCCAGTAATTCTGTCAGGGACATCAAAGGGGCTGGACGCTCGGGGGGCAGCTCCATCAGTCGTGGGATCTGTGGGCTTGTTTTTGTGCTTTCTGGGTTTCTTTGAAGACTCCTTCTGCTTCTTTGGCTCCTGTAGTTTAAAAGCTACATTGAGAAGATCTACTGGTTGATGAGCAGGTATGTGACGATCCGCTAAGGCAGCCAGGATCATTGAATCGATGCCTCCTGAAAAAAGTATAGCAACACCAGCCTGGTCATGAGCAGGAGGGGGACTGTCTTGTACCCTGAAAGGTAGAGACTGAACCCGTCTCCTCACCGCCTCACTGAGGACATCAATAAGACGGCTCACCTCGTCGGTTTCCTCTTTGCCAGCGAGCAGCTGCTCCAGATCCTTAACACATGAGTCTGGAGGAATGTCTTTCTCATTTAATGACTCTGGGATGGATGTATTAAGGGGGCACACAGGTGAACGGAGTACGAGGCCCGACTGGTTCATCACAGCGGTGCATCCACCGGGGGCAGACTCCAATATAGTTTCACTGCGACTCGAAAGATCATTTCCCCCGTGAGCCCAAGGATAAACCTCAAACGTCACAGAGCCGGCTCCCGTGGCTGCCTTCAGGTCAATCCTGTACACACCGACAGCTGGGACCTCCTGCCAAGCAGACTGCTCAGGTCCAGAACTGTAGGCTGCCACCGAAGTCAGGGTCAAGGTGTTGACGTCCGCATCAAATTTCCACAACAAACTCCGCCTGCCAAAAAAGTCTCTGCCAAACCAGAGGTAGTCTCCAGCCTTCTGGTAGTAAACAAACCCCCACGGTCCCCGTATGGCGGACAGGACGGACAGAATCTCCGAAGGGCTGTTGCAGGACGACAGCCGCTGAGAGACGACAGCAGTGTCATTTTCCTCCGGCCTCACAGGGAGACCCCCAAAAATCTCCCCGTTCCACTCCAGGACATTCCCGGTGTTGTCTTGAACTGGCTGAGGGGTAAGAAGACCTCTCATGTGGAGAACGTGGGCAGAGAATAAACACTGATAGCAGGGACCTTTAACTGTGAGATCCTGGCTCAGGTTGGGCCCTCGTCTCTTCAAATGTTCACGAACTGTTTTGTCCCACTCAAACTGAGAGGACGGCAGACTCAACAGACAAAAGATGCCACACATTGTTGGGATGAAGCTCGGTCTTACATATCCTGCAGGTCCTTTTTCATGTTATCCAGTTCCTCTGGAGACAGACGATATCACACAAGACGCTGTGTTATCACATTTAATTTGTGCAGTTACAGTTATTATTTAATGAGAGACAAATATATGCTAGTTTATCCATTAACATTATATTTATTCATGTTTACAGCTTCAGCTTACTTTTGCATGAACCCAGAGTCTGACTTCTGTCTGCTAGGAAGAAGATGTTACTGTTCCTCTGCTGGATGTAGACTTTCTGGAGAAACAAATGTGGATTAATACATACACAAATAGTAAAATTAGTAAAAAATAAAAGATGTTCCTTTTATTTTTATTGCCTTTTTAACACAGGAGCAGTTAAAGTGGGCTGCTGTGGTAACGATGAATAAATAATAATACGGAATAAAAAAATCTATTTTATTTCTTCAACATTATTTATTGTAGGAAATGTTTTTGAATTATAAAAGGCAGAGCAAAAATATCAGGTATAAATAAATGGCAGATCCTGACAATATCAAAAACTTGGTATTAACCTTGAACTGATGTACAAGTGATTTGTTTCTGTATCACAATTACATATAGTAGCCTATTTCACATGTATGTGCATTAGGGCTGCACAATTAATTAAAATATCATAGAAATCACAATATGGCCAAGTGCAATATGCAAATCTCAAGAGCTGTAATGATTTAACGAAAAGGTGAAATGTGTCACAAACAGCATTATAATGAAGTATTGTAGAGCTGCAGAGGTGCTGCAGTTTGGTACAGACCCCCAAAAATGCCACATAATCATGATTTTAATCTGTTTTCTTTTAATGAAAATTCAATTTGTGGTGCACAAATGATGCATGTGTATGTACACTGTGTCTGTGCCCTGCAGTGGAAATACACCTGTTGTAAACTGAAGAGTTGTGTTTTCTAATGCAGATTATTCTTGCTTTTAGTTTCTGTGTTTAAGAACTGTATGAAACTATAAATAAATAAATAAATAAATAAATAAATAAATGTTTCCTTTCACTCTACTCACCCTGTTTTTCTTCAGATTGGAGAGCTCGTCCACTACAACCTTCTGCTCCTTAATCTGAAAGTCAACAACACGAATTAATGGAGAATTATTCAGCAAACAACTGAGAGTCCGTACATTTAATCCTCACCGTTTATTTACACCTAACATTAAGATCCTGTATGTTTACCAGCTGACGTTACCTTCCTGTTCAGTTCCTCCTTCAGTGCAGATTGTCCCTCAAGATTATCGGCCGAAGACATTCTGCAGGGAGGAAACGCAAAAGACTGTTTAAGAGTTTATATTAAAGACATTAAAGGTGGAAGGCTGTCTAACCTCAGTGTAAACACATGTTCAGCTGCTTTAAAAGCGTTTCCGGGTGCAGAAGTCTTTACTGCCCCCTGCAGGTGGGCGGCTGACACGTGTTTACTCTTATTAGAGAGTCTCCATGTACAATTATTGGATTTAAATATATATATATATGTTTGAAGAGCTAAAGGCACCACTTTAAGACAAATTAACTTTTAATTGTATTTATTTAGATCGTTTAGTTAAGCAAAAATAGCAGTAACACACTCATCACAAAATGTAAAGTAAAAGTATGTATTGTATTGTAAAAGTATTATCAGCAAAATTCAGTTACAGTATTAAAAGTAAAACTCATTGTGCAGTAAAATGGTTCCTGCCAGTGTTTTATTATTATATACTATGTTTTTTTAATTAATATTACTGCTGTATTAATGTATAAGTTGCATTTTATTGCTGTAGATGTTTCATTTTTTGCTCATTTTAGTAGTTTAATCTACAGCAATGCATCATATTCTGTCAAATCCACGTATCCCGTGAGAACCATCTTTCTCTAAAAAAAAAAGTCAGCTTTTCATGAGTTTGGAAAAAACAGCCCTGTTTGTGACGATGCATTTTCCAGCTAATCCAACAGGGGGTTTTAGAGCGTTTGTTTAGCTTAAGAAGTAGGAGAAGTTTCTCAACCCATAAAGGAGCACTTAATCCTTCAGTTTATCACAAACATTCAGACATACCGTTGGTATTTCTGTGCTGCCTTTCTTGTTACTTAACAGCCAACACATCTAAAAAAACATTCATTAATTCACATTAATTTATTATTTTTTTGTGCCTGTTAAATCCTGTTCAAAGTCACAAGAGATTGATGGATGCTATCCAAGAATGCACTGGGCAAGAGACAGGGTACGCCGTTGGACAGATCACTAGTCTATAATCACAGGGCTAACACACACTATACAGACAGACTCACACATATTTACTACACACAAGACCTGCATGTCTTATGCTGAGGTGGAAACACACGAGGACCTTCCTGTTGTGGCCGTGCTTACACACATCAAGTCTCCAGTAAATAAAACACTTGGCTTGTTCCAGTCAGTTCAAGTCAGTCCCAGTGTTTCCAGCACAGAAGGTGGAAAATTGACTCAGATGATGAGCGAAATATGAAGGAAATTAACCCTCTTGTGGTCACTGAAGTATCACAAGGTTCTGCATATAGGAACAAAAATCTGTAATGAACTGCAGAGACGTAATTAGAGTTTTTTCCACTGGCTATATTGTTTTTAGCATGTGTTCTGTGGGAATGCCCTGCAGACCTTTGGTCAGTATAAAGATCCTGATGTTCCTAAATGCCCCATGTTGTGTACTAGGTGACACAACAGATTGAGAGAACATTGGGTTGTATTGCTGCTAAATGGGAAATTTCATCTTGAGCAGCTGGTTGGAGGAGTTTAATAAGAGTGGAAAGAGCTGCTGCTGCCACATTAAGCCACCTTTATTGGGGCCTAGAGGGATTGTGGGTCACATTTGAACTCCTTCCTGGATTCTGCATTGTGGTGTGTGATGTGTTGAACAGCAGCAGGAAGGTCTTCAGAGATCTCTTTTCTCTTGCAATTTGATGGTAAAAAAAAGCCTAAAAACATCACAATTTCTGGGCCGCAACAATACCCCCCATAAAAGCTTCTGAAATCCTGGCGCAACCTCCCAGTGACATATCGTTCTTGACCTGACAGGCAGCGGTCAACAGCCGGCAAAGAGGAATTACCCTGGATGACACAAATGTTGATCTTGCTCCAGCAGTCGGTCAAGCACCTTTCGAACCTGCAGCGTTACTGACAAACACACCTGTCTGAGGTCTCATGTTGGTTCGTTGCCTACTGGGCTGCACTGTTATATTGATCTGAAACAGCTGTTAGATGTTTACCGTTTCATTCCCTGAAAAAGCAAGGGCTGTCATTTTGGGAAAGGTGGCCAGACAGTGACCTTCGATGTTTATCGTTCTCTGGTGGATCTGTCAGGCACAAAGTCTTAGGCCCTCGGTCAGCAGCAGATACCCAGAGAGACAATAAGACCACAACACTGTTATGTTCCAAAAATGGGTATAAAGGTAATAATTATAATCATTGTTCCTGGTGTCCTTTGGTCACTGAGATGGTTGGTATTGGTGGCTGGATTTTGGGAGACCTCAAGCTTCAGTTCTTCCAGCTAAATATCAATAAATAACTGAACCAGGGAGCTGTACTGTAATACCTTTTAGCTCTAATGCAACAAGGTCCAAGAGCTCAGCACAAGAAAAAGAACAGAATCCCTGTGTGAAGAATGGATGAATAATCTGATCCAGCCTCACATACACCGTCCTTCAGGTGAGATTTCACATCTTCCCTCCACCTCTATTCCTTCTTTAGCTGTGGCTTGTGAGTGTCAGACAACGTACGGCCGCAGGAGGCAAGTCATTCTCATATTTTTGTCCTGGAAGTACAAATTTAGCCGACGTAAACACAGGTTGTTGTTCCACCAGCAGGGCTGTAAAAGGATCTTGTCGATGGTGGGGGAGGGTGGGGGGGGGGCAGACATACCTGCAGGTCACATGGCCGCAAAATGACACAGCAGCCGTCTGACCGCTGATGACAGGTAACTGAGCCTGGCTGACACACCGGCCCACTAATAGTGTGGCTGGTAATCTGTTTGTACCAGCTCAATGCAGTGCAGACTTTCAAACGGCCGAGAGCTCTCTGTGTGATCCTTGAATAGATCACAAAAGGAAAGAAGCGCCTATTGTCATCACTTAGCTCAAAATATGTGCTTATGTTCCCTTGTTAGTGTCAGTTCTGCTCCCTCATGGGATGAGATGGCACATAGAAGGCCTACGTGTTGCTCTGGGTCAAAAGGAAACTAGTGCTTTGTGTTTTTAATCATCTACATGTGTAGAAATAGCAAGTTGCAGATGTATTAATACGTGTTTTCGCATATATTCAAAGTACTACATGCTAAAATATAGTGATAATGACTTCATTACAAAACAACCCAAAGAGCTGGTTGGCTGGAAAAGGTAGTTTTTGAAAATGTGATGAAGCTAGAAAGCTCTTTTTTGGGGTGTACGTAATTGAACTGATGTAACTAACGTACTTATGTTTCCTGAACCTAACCAAGTCGTTTTTAAACCAAACCAAAATGTCACCGTTGCACCTGTTTATTATTGTTACCATAACGACGACTGTCACCTTGTTTCATTTAAGAAAAAAAAAAAAACAATAACCTCCAGGGAGAGTGTGTATTTTCGAAAAAACTGGGAGTAGTGTTTTTGGTTCTGGGCCATCGGAACAATGAGCAGTCCTTATGGTTAGCCTAGCTTAGCATAAAGAATGGAAACAGGGGGAAACAGCTAGCCTGGCTCTGTCCGGAGGTTACATGTTATAGTTTGTTTGTTTAATCCATCCAAGACCAAAAACTCGGAGCAGTTCCTCGTATCACCAGGTTGGTAAAGAAACATTACATTATAATGACCAACTCACATCAGTGATGATTAATCTGAGGTTATAGAATATTTTAATATTAATACCATTTCTACCCCTGGAAAGTGGTTTGGACATTTTAAACAATACTTCAGAAACACCAGATTAGATTAGATTAGATTATCTGTTGGAATGCATTTTAGGAAATTAGGTTTACTAATCTTTTAGTTAATCTCCTCATACATCAATATATATATACATTTCGAGGCTAAAATGTTTCATATATTTGAATTTGAACACATGAAAAAGTAGCACAAGCTTCTTCACCCCGCCCGTTAAAAAGTAATTACTGCTTAAAAATAAAGGGGGATTGAGTTTTAAATCAAACTCACATTTCAGAGCATGTTGCAACAGAGTTGGATATCATAATAATACATGTTTATTGGATAAAAATGACTTCAATCAAAACCTCTCACAAAGAATCAAAAGGCTCTGCTTCAGCACACGTCATTTTTGTGGATTTGGCCAAAGTTTGGGATGTTTGTTTCTGGGTGTCTTTGTGCTTGAGGGAGATTAGGCCCCTGATGGAGCACATTTTTGTTGTCTTAACTCATCGCACTGTAGGGATGAGTTAAAAAACCCAGAATAGTCAATGGAAAGTTTACGCTGAGCCAGCTATTGTTTTGTCCTATAAACAATAGTTATCAGATCAGAACACTTTATCCGAGCGAGATATGAGTTCATGCATTCATCCCACAGTCACACTGGGGGTCCCGCTCTGCCTTTTATAGTCCACTGTGCATCCAGGTACAGTTAAAAGAGACGTATTAGCCACGTGCTCACTGAGCCCGTGTTTACTACTTTTTATGGATGTGGGCCCTCAGCCTGTAATTACACCTGTGATTCTCCTCTGTTGACATAGCTGGACAAATGCAAGTCATCTAAATGTGTGATTTGTACACATTTTTTTTTCTTTGTCTGCTGCCGAGCTCTATTGCAACAGGCTGCTTGGTAAACAGCTTCAGGTCAAGGCAATAACGGCAGCCAAAAATGTTCCAAACCTTCAACGTTAATTTGTGTCCAGTGGCATCAAATGCAAGTTCGGTTAATCATTAACTTCCAGCAGCAGCAGTCTCTTAACTCTCTTCTGTTGTTTGCTTCTTTCTGCCACTTAAATACCTCTCAGATGCAGTTTATATATGACAAGAAAGTCTAAAGCATGTAATTAAATTATACAGAGTTTAATTAGAGGCCTAATTTAAGAGTGAAGAGGACCTCATCGTTGTTACTGGCAACACCTATAATCCGTATTGATTTACAGGTAATAATTAGTGGAAAGTCACAAGTACATTAAACAGAATATAAAGTTACAGCTACATTAAATGCTACGTACACACTAATAGATCAGTAATAACATTCAGATGATATAATATATAATGTTGGGTGTTATATTTCTGCATTACAAGTACTTCTACTTTTGATACTCTCAGTATGTTTTCCCACCAAAACTTTTGAACTCTGGCTTCAGTAAGTTTTTGAATTCAGGACTTGTAATGGAGTATTTTTGTATCATGTTATGCTATTTTTTTCCCACTTTTCAACTGTATTTTGGAAGCAAATATTGTACTTTTTACTCTACTACATGTATTTTAAAGCTTTAGTTACTTTGCATAGTTAAATAAGTAATAAAAACTATAAATCCCCTGATATATTTTGATATATTATTATATATTAAGCTAAAAATAGCTCCAGCTGCACCATTAAAGTGATGTACACATTAATTAATATTATAATAATAAATGATTATTCATCTGCATAATGATTTTTAGAAGAAGATTTATTTGAAGTTTTAAGAGTTTGAATATTTTTACTTGTAACAGAGTATTTCTACCTTTACGTCTCCCTCCATTGTTTGCAGCGCACATCTTTAGTCAGGTATTGATCAGAGTTTTAAATCAGAATCAGAATAAGAAATACTTTATTGATCAGTTGCTCAACAAAGACATTGTAAGAAATAATAATAAGACCGTTAAAATAGGCTGCATGCATTAAATTACAATATATAACAACAATATATACAGAGAAAATAGAAATATAAAATAACTGTGTGTAAAAATATGTACATTATATTTGTGGTGGGCAGTAACTTATACTAAATACTTTCCCCAGTAACTAGTAGTGTAACTGATTACTAATAAATTTCAGTAATATTATTACAGTTACTCCTTCAAAAAATAATTAGTTATATATATATATTACAGTTTAGGGTTCAAGGGTTAAAGAAGGGTAGATTTGGTTTGCAGTAAGATTACAGAGAGAGAGATCAATAAAGATAATAATGCATAAATAAAATAACAAATAAATAAAGATAAATAAAGATAAAGAAGTGTAATAAATACATATCATTATTACACAATAGCACATTAATCATTAGTATTGTTATCGAACATTACCGTCACACGCGCGGGGTGTGCGTCACGCAGGTAAACAGGTAGATGTAAGAGAACAATGACACCTTTTTTTTCAGCTTTTCTATTATTTTAAGCGCGTTTTGTGTGTGTGTGTGTGTGTGTGTGTGTGCGGTGGGAGGACACAATGTAAATAGCGAGCGAGTCACGTGACTGCGTGGCTATATCCGAGGCAGGACGTAAACAGTGAGCAGAAGAGCGGAGGCAGCCGTCAGACGGACCGGTGCTGGATATTCAGCCCTCACAGCTTCGTGTCTTCTCTTTTTCTTTTCTTTACTGTTATTTCTTTCCGACTTCAGCTACAGTGATAGCTAAGTTTGGAGAGGAGGAAAAGGAGGGAGAACCCGCCGTGTCTTTTGTCTTTTGTTGTTTTTGTTTTTTTTGCTGTTGTATTTGTGGTGTCGCTGAGAGATAACAGTGGGGTCGACCTGCTTTAACGTTGCATTACAAAAGAAACAACACTCACTTGGTTGTTTTGTTTTTTTTTGCCATTTGGACAGCTTTAAAATGGATACCTCTGCACCCAGGAGGACGTGCTGTGGTAGGTTATTTCTCATTGCAATGCGAGATTATTAAAACACAACGGATCCATCATGGATTAAAATATGGATATGGAGATGTAACAGTTGAATATTTCCTTTACAGAGTCTGTCCGAGACTTCTTCACCTCAGCTAAATTCCTTATTTACATGGGACATGCTCTGTCTACATGGGTAAGAAACACATTACTGTCTATTTAAATGACTCTCCATCATGTATTTACCTCATGATGACAGGCTCCATGTGTGGCTTTTTCACTGTCAAACTAAATATAATGCGTTATTGTTACATTATGTGTTGTTATAACTGTCATTACAATATGAAATGACATGTTTTCCTCTGTGTGGAGCTCAACCACACTGTGCAAATAGCTCCTGAAGGATAGATTGAACTGTAGAGGGTGATTCTTATGTCTCAGGGCTCTTAATATTTATGCAGCAGCCAAACCACATTTCCTACCAGCCAACCAGCGTGGATGTGCAGAATCAGGTATCAGCGTTAGGCTTATGAATAATCCAATGATTTGAATTTCGCAGGGCGACCGAATGTGGAACTTTGCCGTGGCCGTTTTCCTGGTGGAGCTGTACGGGAACAGCCTGCTGCTCACGGCCGTGTACGGGCTGGTGGTGGCCGGCTCCGTGCTGCTGCTGGGGGCCATCATTGGGGACTGGGTGGACAAGAATCCCAGGCTCAAAGGTAAGGAGGGAGCACGGCGTTGAAAGACTGTCAGAGCACAAGTTTGTCATGAATGAAATGCCCACAAACTTTGTGGATTTTGAACCTGAAACACTAGACGTGTAGCACTCTCACAGGGACTGGCATTATAACGTCCTTTACAATGTGCACATGTGCTCCGCTTTCACAGTTAAATGCTCCTCTTGTTGAATGTTTATGCAGAGGAATTTGGCTCTATTAGATTAGATCAGGGAGCGAGGGAACGTGTCCAACCATCTCGCCGAAGCGCTCTAATGATCTGGTTTGTCAGACAGCAATCTGTTGTCTTTGATCATATTTCTGTCCCTAATGTCCTTCGTGGTGTTTCCACAGTGGCCCAGACTTCGCTGCTCGTCCAGAACAGTTGCGTCATCGTGTGTGGGATCCTCCTGATGGTTGTTTTCCAGTTCAAAGAACAGCTTGTGGAGCTTTACAATGGATGGATTCTGGTAAGATCCCCCCTGTGCTTGTCTTTACACACTCGCTGTTTGAACGTGAACTAACGGGGGATTCTCACTGAAACCACTCTCTGACCCTGGGATTGCACACTGATATGGACTCCTTGTCATTATGATTTATGAGCACTTGAACTGCTTTTTACAGAAGAGTTAAGTGAGCATGGTTCAGTGCCAGAAGACCTTTGGCTGTTCCACTAACTTAAATTGACAGTAGATTAGGCATTGTTTAAGTTTTTTGACACAGCTTGTCTACTTGTTTCTTGATGCTCTTGACACTCACATCTTGAGCCACAATAATTTATAACTGAACTTTGTCATCACAAGAAAACCAAAGCTGACAATTAAGAGGTAATTACACTCTTGTCCCCAGCAGCCCTCCGTAGGAAAGAAAGTTTGTGTCAGTGTTCTGAGAGGGGCTTGTTTACACTTGTTGAGCTATGTGGCTTCACAAGAACTTCCTCACCACAAAGATGCGGACCTACTTCTGCCGCCGACCGAGATGCAGAACTGTAGACCAGACAGGTTTCTGTCCATTAGGAGAGACCGGTTGGGGTTGTCACGTTGAAACACAAAAGCCTTTCTGTTTTGGGGGGAGGTGGGGTGACGGCGGGAGGTGGGGGCATTTGTGGCACGCCTTTTGGGTCTCTCCCGGAGAAAGGGGGAGATTTTGGCCACGTGAGAGCGTTTAGGGGGACGGCTGTCGGCGTTGGGAGTGTGGAGGTGGAGAGAGGTCGGTGGAACAGGAGATTGAGTGTCTGGTTGAAGGCTGTGCAGTCAGCAGGTTCTTCAAGGCCTGTCACATGACACAGAGAGAAATGTGGCCGGGCCTGTTGAAGCATTTGTAGTTTTTTTTTAATCAGCAGCTGCGTTACAATGTACAGATTAACAGACAAAGTAGCGGTTTCATAATTGAGCCATATTATACGTTTTCTTTTAGGTTTTTCTGTCACTCTGTGCTTCTTTATTGCTGCTGCAGCTGAGGTCACATGTTGAGTGTCATATTAGCTGTCATGAGGTTAATTTTTGCAGAATGATATAGATTTTTTTTGTACAGGATGTCATTGATTTTTTTTGTTTACATAATGTGATAATAGCACTTTTTTGTTGTCAGTATCAGGTAAAATCTGAACTTCCGATCTTAAGTCCTTTTACAGTTAATGTTACAGTGTTGGAAAAAGTTTTGAGCCTGACAGTTGCTTCATTCTTGAATTTAAATCATAAAAATAACTCAACTTGGAGGCGTTTTCCATCAAATAGAGACGGTATAATAGATGCAAGTCTTGTATATTCATGTTTTAAAGATAAAGTTGGTAATTTTTCTAAATAAATCCCATAAAAATACCAAAACTATTTGTTAGTTCATCTCTAAATACTTCATGACTTCCCTACTTTGTATTTAGGGTTGCAACGGTCGCAGTTTCAATGTCTACATTGGACAGTAACTACTATCATCAGTTACAATGACCCTTAAAGGAATGAAAGCAGAAGGGTTTTTTGGGGGGGTTGAACAAATACATCACAAAATATTATATGCTATATATTTTTAATGACACAAGTACAGTAGAATTCAGTATTTTTTAAAAAATGTAATACCGTCGATAAGCATATGCACATGATAACCATCAGTCGTCATACCACAGTATCGGTATACCGCTGCAACCCTACTTGTATGTGGCATTCAGCCCAAAGCCCCATTGGTTCCTCGTGAAGATTAGTTTAATTTTTTTTTTTTTAAAGGCTGGTCAGTGTAGTTTTTTTTTAAACAAACATCACTCAAACAGGAGTAAATCCTGTGTTGGGGACTATTTATAGCTACACATTTTCTGACTTTTCCCACATTTTTGCTGATCAAATACTGGATACTTTCACCTCTTCTGCCTCCTTCAAATAAAACAACCCAAGGAAAAGGTGTTAGGGTTCAGTCAAATAAACTAGTGTGTGTGTGTGTGTGTGTGTGTGTGTGTGTTAATGGTAATGAAGAAGCATGTCAGCCAGTGCAACAGTGTGACTAACATTGTAGATTAATAGTGGAATAAGCTTTATCAAGCTTTGGCTAAACAGAAAAGATTTACTTTGCAGCAAGTAAATATAGATCATTCGATTACGATCACATTTACTAATAATATTCTTTTTTTTTTGTTCTTTCAGACCACCTGCTACATTCTGGTGATCACCATCGCCAACATTGCCAACCTAGCCAGCACAGCTACATCCATCACCATCCAAAGGGACTGGGTGGTGGTTGTGGCGGGTCAGGACAGCAGCAGGTTGGCAGGTCAGTGTTTCTTATCATCAGATGTAGGTCTCACATGATCCCTTATCAGATCTGTTCAGTAGGGCAGACTTTGAACCCCCAGATGGTGACTCACTCTCGTTTTCACCCTGATTGTTATAAACTATTTCATAGGTTTTGCTTACATGGTGGAAAACACTCACTGAACTTAATGACCTTTATCATTCTGCCCTGCTAGTATCATCATTTTTTAAAATGCCATGTGTCCATCATGTGAGGACTGTAATGGGCCAATATTTGATCTCAGGAACTTAATAGTGCCACTCTTTTATCAGATATGAATGCCACGGTGCGGATCATTGACCAGCTGACCAACATCTTGGCTCCTATGCTGGTGGGTCAGATAATGGCCTTCGGCTCCCATTTCATCGGCTGTGGGTTCATCTCTGGCTGGAACCTGTGCTCCATGTGTCTGGAGTACGCGCTGCTGTGGAAGGTCTACCAGAAGACGCCGGCGTTGGCCACGAAAGCTGGCCAGAAAGAGCAGCAGCAGGAGCTCAAACAGCTCAGCCCCACGAGAGGTAGCTACAAGAACCTTGTGTTTGATTTCTAGCATCTAACACTGTGGGGAGTTTTGGCCTGTGTGGTGACTGAATTGAACTAATTCTCTTCATGCTTCTGCCCTTTCACAGAGTTGGAGAACGGCCAGAGCCCTGAGGAATCGTCTCAGCCGCTCATGAATGAAACCTCAGTCGTGACCAAGCCCGCCTCTCCCAAGCAGCGCGGCTGTTGCTATCAGGTGACCGAACCTCTGCGCACCTTCAAGGCAGGCTGGGTCGCTTACTACAACCAGAACATCTTCTTCGCCGGCATGTCCCTGGCTTTCCTCTACATGACGGTGCTGGGCTTCGACTGCATCACCACGGGCTACGCCTACACGCAGGGCCTCAACGGCTCGGTGCTCAGCCTGCTGATGGGGGCCTCGGCCGTGTCGGGCATCTGCGGCACCGTCGCCTTCACCTGGGTCCGCAAGAAGTGCGGCCTGATCCGCACAGGCTTCATTTCGGGCCTTGCCCAGCTGTCCTGCCTCATACTGTGTGTCGTCTCCGTCTTTGCTCCCGGGAGCCCCTTCGACCTCAGCGTCTCGCCCTTCCAGGACCTTTACACCCACCTGATCGGAGAGAAGCCGCTGCCCGAGGCCGAGCACAGCCTCACCGGCGTTCTTACCAGTGGAAACGTCACTACTGCTGCACCAGCTGAAGAGCTGCCACCTCTGCAGTCCTACATGTCTGTTTGTCTGCTGTTTGCTGGCGTCATTGCTGCTAGAGTTGGTAAGAGTGTTTATCTAAATGTCCTGATATTGTATTTCACTTGCTTTGGAGCAGAGTAGAAGCTCTAGCGCTATTTGCCATTGAGGTAAATGGTATAGTCTAAGTTGTTTGTTAGTGTCATTTGAAAGGGAATTAGAGTGTCCATGCTTTATTGGCATGTTTCACTTCCTTTCATAAGATAAGAAAAGGCTGTTTCTCGAATGATCACTTCCTAAAGGTGACTCAAGCAGTTACAAGGAGGTCCACAGGTTGAACTTTTTCTCAACTCACCGGAATCTCACATAAGACCTCTACGGATGTCAGAGCAATATTTGCAACCTTTGGTTCCAATTATATTGCCTGATAATTACCATTACAGCTACTGTCGCCTTCTAAAGTTGTTTCATTGTGGCTGTAAAAAACATCATTAACACTGACTGTTGATCCCCTTCTTGCAGGTCTGTGGTCTTTTGACCTGACCGTGACCCAGCTCATCCAGGAGAATGTGATCGAGTCGGAGCGAGGTGTGATCAACGGCGTCCAGAACTCCATGAATTACCTCTTAGACCTGCTGCACTTCATCATGGTGATTCTGGCTCCGAACCCGGAGGCCTTCGGCCTTCTGGTCATCATCTCTGTCTCCTTCGTGGCCATGGGTCACATCATGTACTTTGGGTTTGCCTACAAGAGCCTGGGGAGCCGCCTCTTCCTGTGCTGCTCGCCGGAGCAGAAGGTGGAGGAGGTAGACAACCCCTCACTTCCTACCACCGTCTAACCCCGTTAAAGAGACTCTGTCCTGGGTACATATCTCTCAAGCCTTACCCTTGCCCTGCATCTTATTTATCTAACATCTTTTTTTCTTGTAGCTGGCAGAATGCTAATGCTAACCAGATAAAGGCAACTTAACATGCTATGCGTAGCCATTAATAAAGCATTACTCATTAGCAGAAAGCTTACAGTTATAGAAAACTAATCCATAGCAAGACTTTAGGTAAGGCAGGGTTTCTCTAACGTTTTCAGTCTGGGAGTCAGATGAGAGTCTCTCATCTGCGGGTCCATGCTCTTTGATACATACATGTACTGTCGAACAAGGATCCATCACTTCTAGGCTCGTGATCCCAATGTGGTGGTCCTGTTAAAGACATCAGGGGAAATGGCGCTGTAAAATATTCTCCCCCTCACTGCCTGGATGTAGCTGTAAAGATGTTTAAAAAGGTGCTTCAGCTAACTAAAAGGCCAAATGAGGGAGAAATCTTGCAGGGAAAGCAGGCACTGAGGCTTGGATTAAGGGGGGCCGCTGTCGTCTGAGACCCTAAGAGACAGGCCGTCCCCCACTTTCCTCTCTTGACACTTGCCTCTCATTGGTGCTGTAGCTGTGTCCGCTAGCTGTTCTCTTCAGCCTCGGCTGTGTGTCCGCTTACATGTATGATGAGCAGGTTCTTGTGGAGGCCGTCCTCCAGAGGGCTTTTTTACTTTTATTTAACCAAACACAAAACTGGGATCTAGTCTCTTTAATACGTGGTTATAAGGGTTATGCAAAATAACTGTATTTATTCAGGAAATGCAGACGGTGGTTTTTATAATAACTGTATAATCAGTATTGTGTTGCGCTCTCGCGGTCGTGCCATAAGAAAGAAATCCTATGCACCCTTGTCAATAACTCTCTCAGTTACCAAAGTCAAAGTCCATAATATGTGGCGTAAAAGGAAGTGAGGGAAACCAGTTATCTGTGTGAAGCAATCCAAATATATGTTTTTTTTTTACATCAGGTGACAGTAGATGTGTAGGTTCACTGAATATTCCTAACCCACTCTGAGATTGTACTTAAATTCTGTTTTCCTGGTAGTTTACATTAATAGTGTTATTTTGTCACCTTTTTTAATCTTTTATGTTCTCTCTCTCGAGTAATTTTTCAATCATGATTGTTGTTACACAGGCACTTTAAGTGATTGACGTCTGTCATTACACCTAACGCGTGATCAGGCATTTGATCAATATTTTTTGCACAAGGTTGAAGTCCTGACTCCACCCCCCCTACCCACCCCACCGCCGCCGTAAACCCCCATGCTCAAACTTATTTAAATCACTTATAGTCTCTCTGTTTGTTCAGGTGCAGTGTGTGGGGGGGGAGGGATTGTGGTTTTAAGAAAAAAAATAAAGGCACATATTGTAACACTTACTGTAGCACCAGAAAACTGTACCAGTTTACAGAAGAAGTGAGTGCACCCCGTGTTGTAGACAGATACCCTCCGGTTTCCTCAAAAGTTTGCTGAGTCAGTAACTCTTATCTGGTCTCAGTATACCGCCTCAGACTGCCAGCAGGCTCTGAACCAGCACTGAGTCAGGGTTGTAGCTCTTATCGGTCTAAGCTTCGACAAACGTTTTAAAGTTCTGACAACTTTGGCTTTATGAGTCCAGAAACTGTTGTTTTTAAAGCATCTTGTGAAAGTTTTTTTTTTTGCATTCCTACTTTTAATTGATTTTTCTAAATAAACAAATGTCTCCAAAAACAGTTAAAAATCTCAGACAGTAGCTTCATTTTCATTTCTAAGGGGGAATAATGTGTTATTATTTCGTCTTTCAGAAATAATCTCACTTTAAAGATATACCCAAATAAGGTACCTAATGTAGCTCCACCTCTGGCCTTCAGTGATAACTGTCGCCTTATTGTAAATTAGCCTTGACAGCTGTTAAACGCACACATGTGGCTACATCAAGAGTCGCAACCCGCCCATACAAAATCTAGCCAGTCTAGCCAAGATTTTGGTATTTTTTGGAGTGGGGAGATATAGGGGGAGAGAAATATTTAGTTTGGAAACTAAATAATTGGGTAGCCGCACCAGATGTAGGAGAACAGAAGGCCACTTATTAGCCGAGCATTCCCATGAAACCTGGTGGAGGACGCGGCGGTGAGTCAGGATGTCTGCAAGTGTGCCAGACTCGCAGGGAATGGAGCTTAATTTTCATGTTCCACTCGGGTTTAATGTGAAAAAAAACTCTGTATGGGCATGAGAACAAAAACCGGCTCTCACAACGGTCTGTCTGCTGATTCAGGAATATCACACATGGACATAACTCTGTATTTTTTAATGTAAATAACATTAGCTGTCAGTCAGTATAAACATATTGAATATATACAATTGGAAAATGCTCAAAAGTATATTGTGTATACTGTTGCCATGCTGTTTTTTTTTTTTTTTTTTTTATGTTTTTATATACCTAGTGTTTGTATAAAGTACAATTACTGCATTTCTTTTAAATACATCTGTATCATACTGCTTTAATCTGGCATATATATATATATCTCTCTCTGTATATACATATAGATATATATCAGTGTTATTGTAGTTCAATAGACAACAGCATTAAATCATAAAGAAATCATCCATTTTATGTAATAATCGCACTCCACTGAACATAAAGTCGTTGGTACTGCTTGTATTGCATGAGCTCTCCTAAATAAACAAAACCGTCACAATCGAATGTGTTTAGTCTTACGTGTGTGTGTGTGTGTGTGTGTGCAGTGTATTATGTTCGCAGGGTTTCCTGGGATTGGTTGCTCTGGTGTCAGGTCACATACCTCAGCACAGTTAGCTGCTAATTTCCTCCCCAGAATCCCTTTCTTTCAGGCAGCCAGTGTTAAACTGAGTGACTTTTAAGCCGAGCTGGATGATCTGGACTCGCATGCCTGCTGAAAAGACAAAGAGTGACCTGTTTTGTTTGGTTTTTTTTAAGCGACAGAGGCTTGTTAGTTGGCTTTGACTCTGCATTCAGCGGTTGTTTTATTATTTCGATGCTTAATGTATGTGTATGTTTAACAGCTGATCTGCACTGTGAGTGTGTTGTGACGGTCGTATCAGGGGCTCGTACTACTTTTAAGAGGTTTAAGCCAAATGCCAACGCACTGCTGATCAGTGAGACAGCTAATGAATACACAATAGTACCTTTTTAACAGGCCTCTTCTTTCATTTTGTTCCCTATAAGCTTTACTGAACAGCAATAGCCTTCAGGTGCCACAGTGAATGAGATAAATTAAACAACTTTGTACTTTTATCGAAGCACAATCATGCTGTTTTATTTGCAGATGCTGACTCATTTTTAAATGATTAGGACCCTGACATGCTGACTTGCTTTTTTCAGGATTTATCAGTTTAAGGTAGAAGGTTCAACATGAGGGGCGATGCCTTAAAAAAGAGCAGCAGTTGAGGCCCCACCTCATACTCGAAGGACCACATACTGACAGAGTGAAAAGGCCGCTGGCCCCAGTGAAAGTCCAATGTCTACAGACAGGAACTAGGACTTGAGATAAGTGGAGATATCGTCCTGTTCATGTGCAAGGTCTGAAAAAAAGTTGTATGAAGCCTTTGAAGCCTTTGCGTAAGCTCTGATACATTTCCTCGAGTGATGTCACTTGAGTCAGCGTCTGAAAGTCTGAAAATGAAACGAATCAGGGGTTTAGAGTAGAAATAAATGATCTTTCCAGACCTCTCTGTACTTATCTTTAATTGAGGTTAACGTCTGGAGGCTACATTAGCTGCTACTAGCACACCTGCATCTCCTGAAGTTCATGTTGTGCATTGTGGGTAATGTAGGCATCAAGTTTTGAGAGGGAAGAAGAACATGTGGAATCATAAAGATGATATCTCTGGTTCGGCTGCGTCGATTTTGAGTCCAACATTTGTTTTTTTATAATATTTGATGAAGTTCTCCCTTTAGCAAGAAAACAACGACCCACTTCCACAAAAAAAAAAAGTTTTTACTTCCTCCTTAATCCGAACCTCTTCTGCGAGTTCAAACTTTAATCATCTTTGCTGCACTGGTTTATAAATGGCCACAAGGGAATTCCTTAGACTTGTGTATATTTGTTTTATATATATATCATAGTACATTATATTACAGTTCATTTCTATGAAGGGTTGTCTGTTGCTCAGTGTGGTGCCTTGCTCAAGGGGAAATACAAAGGTGGAGGGCAAAGAAAACGGTCTAACAGTTACAAAGTTTACCGAGATTCAGAGAGGATTTGATGTTTTTTTAAATATACTTAATGGATCTGTTTTACAATCCTAGGTCATATCAAGCCAATAAAAGTGACAGATAAACAGCTTAGGTGTCGATAAGGAAATATAGGGTGACCCAGTTTGATGACCAAAGCTCCGTACGTTCTCAATATCTTTTAAACGCAGAGTCCAAGAAAGAGCACGATGGATCTGTCCTTTGCGGTGGGAGGCCTCGGGACGGAGCACCTGATAGAGAAAGGAACTGAAAAACGCTGAGATGAAAGTGCCCTTTCTTATCCAACCCTGGGAACAAAACGTGACCTCCTTCTGAGACAGCTTACTCAGGACTTCAGGATTTGTTACTCAAGACCAAAGAGAACGGGGCTGACTTTACAGCACCGATAATGTGACTTTACAAGGTCCTGGACACATGAGCAAAGTTTATGTTAAAGATTTCTAAAATGAAATATCATGGGTTTGCATTTCCAAGGAAAATGTATGTTCTGCATTAATTCAAACAATGTCATCATTACATACACTTTTTTTTTTTTTTTTAAAGAATCCTAATCCCTCTTGAGAGCAGCAACAGTCTGATTAGATGTGTGTCACAGTTCACCTGCTTATACAACACTACTACAAAGTGAGAACTTATAACCGTCTCTCGCCACCGCACTACATTACAACACACAATAGTGACAATGGAAAAAAAGGCTTTGGACTCTGGAAGACACACTGATGTTGTGTAACAAGGTGAGGAGCAAGGCAAAAATCAATGAGGCTGACAGCTTAAAGAAAGACTTCTTTTTTATTAAAATTCAAAATATAGAAAAATGTCTAGTAATTGCACTATACTGTGTATGTGCATGATACAGTGCCTATAGAGAGTTTTTACCCCACCGGTGGAGTCCTTAATGTTTTAACATTGAATCACAGTGGATGTGATTAGTTCTTTTTTTTTGCTTTACACTGATTGACAAAACACAAATACTTTAACGTGCAAGTTTAAAAAAAAAAAAAGAAGCCCCTACAAACTGATCAAAATAAATGATTGCATAAGTATTTCATCTCTTTACTGTGACATACCAAATCAGCACTGGTGCAACTATTTGCTTTAAGTGGAAGATGCAGGTTTTATTTAATATCCCATCAAAAACTACACCATAAAAACAAGTGATTCTCAACCAGGGAGTAAATATATCCACGTTACAAAGTTATTTGAGGCTGATGTTTAGTATATTGTCATAACAATCACGGTGTTTCCCCCACTGTGCAGGTTGTACCCTCAGTTTCCCACCAATCTAACTGTAGGTTTGCATAGAAATGTCAAAATGGATAGCTAAAAATACTTCTAAATATAAACATCAGGCTGCCCCTCCACGTGGTAATAGTAATATTAAGTATAAATACAAATTTGACCAAACCTACTGGGAGGAAAAAAAACCCCACAGAGATGTAGCCTGAACATCAACAACTATGTCAGTGTTGGGAACCACGGATGAGGTTTCAGTCTTGCCTGTGACAAGTTAACAAGAAGTTCAAGAAGGCAGATACGAGAAACATTTAAGCACTCGATAATCCTCTGTTCTGTTATTCACAGTCCCCCAGCTCGTGATTACCAGCAGGCATGGAGGAGACTGAGGTGAATTGAAGTCCAAAAGTGAGCTTTTTGATTATCGGTGTAAGCGAAACCCTGGACCTGCGTGAGGTCAGCCAAGCATTGTGGGGACGGATGGGAGAAACTGGGAGTCTGGTGAAAGGAGCAAGTGAAACTTCCAAATTGCTGTTTGCATGTTCGTGCACGGACAGTTCGTGCAAGAACTGTCTGTACAGTGTGAAAAGAGGATAAGGGAGAAATTACCGAATTATCTTGCAGCTTGAAATTTGGTGATTAAGGCCTCAGAACTGCAGAAAAGACATCCTGGAGGAAAACCTGCTGCAGTTTGCAAGAAAACTGACTTGTGAAGAGATTTATTTTCCAACAATCACAAACATACAGCCAAAGCTACAGAGGAAAGGCTGAGAAACAACACTGTTAATATTCTGGAGTGGTTGAGTCAGAATCCAGATATGAATTCAAACCAGACTTTGTTGTAAGACTTGGAAACTGATACAAACTTGTCAACGTTGACTCAAGGCTGCAACTGCTGCCAAAGGGGTTGGATACGTATGCAATCAAATACTTGTTTTTGTGCATAGAAATGTATTTGTTTTGTGATTTCTAGAAGAAATCCTCAATTTCATGGTGTAAAACAATAAAAGAAATCCACTGAATTGGTGAAAACCTTCTATGGGCAGTGTATCTGTGTGTGTCTGTCTTTGTACATGGTCATGTTCAAGAGTCCAGGAGGCCTGCGAGCCAGCTGTGGTCAAGTTTCTTCACCCTCCTCAGTTCCCTAGCCTGTGCTTTTGTCAGAGCGGGGGCTGCAGACTCTGTTGCCTCGCTTTCCAGCGACTCCTTCGGTCTCGTGCTGGATTCCATTTCCCCCTCTGAATCCTCTTCCTCTTTCTCGCTCTCCATTTCCTCCTCTGTGTGTTTATTTTCCTCCCTGAGGCCATGAGAACACATGTAGGAAAAAAAATAATAAATCAACATGACTTTGCATATTTAAGAGACATAAACAAGTCCAAGCACAGCTCCAGCCTGAATCTCAAGTTGCTGAGTCATGTGGAGCCTGAAAGTGCAGCAGTGTTGTGTCAACTCCTGATATTATCACGAGGTGTCAAAAATATATATTTCATCCATCAATCAATATTGACACATTAAAAAGGGGAACAAAAAGCCAGTATGACTCATTATTTTCAGTTTTATTGGCTCACAATTTAAGAACAAATAGAAAATGTGTTGAATTTCTGAAGCTATTTGATTTATTTGCACAATAAAATTAGCGTTATAAGCAGATGTTATCCACTTAAGTAAACAGAATAAAGATGACTTTGGGTTAGCGTGTGTGTAAGTGTACATGTGTAACTGTGTGCAGGATTATAGTCATATATGATCAGTTCAGAGAGCTCAAGTTCATCAGACGAAACCTAAACCTGTTTTTTACAATCTTGAGTGAGATAAATAGAACTGTTCTGTGGGTGAGCTTGACAAAATGTCTTTAGCCTAACATTGGTGGACTACTGACCTGGTGTCTGTAACGGAGATGAGCAGAGACTGCACAAACATTGAGCAGAGGTAAGAGGTCGAGGGCAAGACGTGGGCCGGCGTCTGCAGAAGCTGTCAGGAAAACAAACAAACACGTTAATGTCAAAAAATGTGACCGTAAATTACTAATTTGCATGTGTCAATGTGACAAATTTGAGATGCAGAAACTTCTCACTCATTCCCTAAAATAAGGACTTTTAACCAGCTTATACACAGCTCAACGTGGACACACAGGGCCGGACTACCGACCTCTCTGATAGCGACAGAGCCCTGTGGCAGAGGTGTCCTCTCAGCAGACATGCCGCCCAGCGAGTCCTGATTTTCCTGTTGCCGATGTTTCCCCAGCAACAGGTAGAACGGTGTCATGGCAACGCTGTCATCGATCACAAGCTGGAAAGGGGAAGAAATAAAAAAAAAAAATCACAATGTCAGGAAAAACAGGAAATGTCTTCAGCAACGATGTTTTTATTTGATAGAGTGGAAGGAGACAGAAAAAAGAGAGAGAAACAGAGAGGGGGGTTTATTTGGATTAATTCAATAAAGACCAGGGAGTTGAAAACAAAAGCAACATGGATCCACAAACTCTGCTGCTGCCAGTTCCTGTAACTTTAGCTAAGCACAAAAAAACTGGCTCTTCACCATCACCCTGCGATCACTGCAGAAGAAAACATGAAGCAACAGCTGACACAGGCATCGGTCCAGCTCACAGGTTTCATGAGTTTCGTTATGTTTAGACTGCCCGCAATGAGGAACTGTTCTATCAGGTATGAACTTTGGTCTCCAAAGAGTTCAGAAAACCTGCTCGGTATGCGATGTCCTGCGCTGTTGAGTGGCAGGCCAGAAATGTCTGAAATCTTTTAAAGCTGAGCAGCGGCTGGTGCTCAGGTGTGCTCGCTGTACCTGTTTGCTGGACGCCATCAGTCGGTCTTCCTCCGCCTTGGTGGTGAATGTCATGAGATCCTGCAGAGGAGAGAGTGCAAAAGGTTATTATGGTGCATAAGTACTTTTTCCTTCCGTTTACCCCCAATTGCACACTTATTATGTCACTAAAATAATATAACAGTGGTGACATTCAGATAATAAGGATGCTGCAGAACAGAGACTGAATTCACACATTTGCTGCTTGCTGTAATTTTTATTTCTTAAAATAAGTGTCAGAGCTGGAGGTCATGCAGGGTTTGTCCATGTTTGAAGACCATTATTCAATGTAATTTAAGAGCTATTTTACATCCATACGGGCCAAAAAAGGTATGAAGGCTATGAAAGAAAATTAGCATTGGTTCCATATTGGTTTTGTTTTGTAGTTGTTACGGCACTATTAATACAAAATCCTCCCCAAAACACATTAAAAGGTCGTTTTTTGAGCTATAAACTAAACCGTATGACTGTCACATCCATGCTAGTGTTAATTTTGACATTCCTACCAAATACTGAAAATAGGTCAACACACCCTCTGTTTGTAATTACCCCGGACCTGACAGAGTCGATTGTATGGGGTTAACTTATTGTCATTACATGATATGCTTGTTCTACTTAGTATTTTTCTATTTTGGCACAATGGTTCGGAAAAAGAGTTCCACTTCTAATCTTTGCTGTCAATTAACCACCTTTTCTAGTTGAGTGTTTGTCTGGCGGCGGTGTGTTTACCATGTACTGAGTGAGGAAGTACAGCTGGGAGTGGTTGAGCCACTGGCTGCTCTCCTCGCAGCTCTCCAGCATCTCCTCCCTCGGGGCAAAGACGGCGCGAGTCACCTTCCCCGAGCACACCTCCTTACGGGAAAACAGCGGCCGAGGCTCGCTGGGCTTAAACACAAACACTGACAATAGAGAAGAAAGACAACCAGCATAAAACATTAACACAGTAACGGTGATTTCTACACTTCCATTAAAGAAATTACAACAGTATGCTTATTAAATATATATATGGTAAATATTATACCTGCTTGGCACCAACACATTAGCACACAGATGTTGTGTTAAAATATTTATCTATAGAGGTTTTGTATTCAACCCACCGCTTCAACAAAGTGTCTTGTTGGTTTGGAACACTGAATTTATGAGGCTGATATACAGACTGAAAGTAAACTGGACTTCTTTCTCAAATCAGATCTTCAGGACAAACTGTGACTATCAGTATCTCCTGTTCACAACAACTTGGAAATGCCAAGACTCTGCTTACAGTCGGTGCATCCAGCCTGACAGCAGAAGGCAGCCATGTTCTCGGAGAGGGGGTCGGCCAGCAGCAGGCTGACGTCCATCGAGGTGCTCCACTCCACTATCAGAGAGGACAGGATACAGCGGAAGAGGCAACAGGAAGACACAATTATAAATCAATTGCAAAGAATGCCCTCAGCTGCAAATGTTTTTGCTTGTGTGTTGCCATGTACACTGCACAGACGGCCTTACATGAGCAGGTGAGGAGGTTCCAGCAGCAGAGCAGGTTGTTGGCGGAGGTTCCCAGCAGATACTTGGAACAGCTCAGTCGCCCAAAACAAAGATCCCTGGTGGAGAAAAAAAAAAGTCCCTTTAGTTTTCTTGTGACTATAAAGAATCCCAAGTGCAGCCCCCCCCTCCTCATCTAGCTCCCCACACCGCACATATTTCACAGGATTAGCCTTTGAGGAGTTTTCCGCTTTGGGGGCTTCAAATGGGAACACACAATCACCCACCAAGAACCAAACACCCGGAAAATTTGTGTCTGGCAGATGAATCAATTTCAGACTTGCTGCCTTTTACATATTAAGGCTGTGATATTACTATGCAAAAAATAACTTGGCAGGTGAAATTTTTTCTTATTTTAAGCCAAAAAGTCATACATTTCTCAAGTTGCATGTAAAGAGTCTGGGGTTGGTGAGGTTGGAGGTCAGGCCGTTGACCCAGCTCTACACATCCATAGGTGGTGGTTATGTAAGGGGCACCGGGCAGCTGTCAAAACAGCTGACCGTTAACGTCTTACAGTTTCCCTCCTTTCAACTTTGAAGCCTCAGTACGTACAAATTCCCTTTCAGCTCCCAAACTACACAGGAAATGTCTGCTCATTCGAAGAGGCTGTCTGATTATGATTGAGTTTCTTTTTAATGGAGCAAGGCAGCTCATCGGGTTCCTAGTAAGAGACCTTTTGTAGTGCTGTTGACTGACGCTCTTCTTGACTTAGCTGGTTGCTTCATTTTAATTTAAATTGCAAGTCAGCTCTCCTTGTTTTTCTTGCAAATATGATGAAATGCTGACTGACTGTTCTGAGCAGAAAAGTGGTACGGAAACTAGCAACAGTAGTTTCGTGTCCTCATTGACCTGAGGGCCCCTTGTTGAGCAGAGGAGGGGACATCAGCCAACATTTCTGAGACTCGAGCAACGTTGCGAAACTGCAGCCTGCCCCCCCCCCTCCGTGTTCATCCGGCTGACAGGCAGCACTCCTTTCTCTGAGGCCGCTCCATCCCCTGGTCTGTTGTGAGAAACAAAGCTTTGGACTTGTGCCAGCGTGGTAAAAAGGTTATTTAACTGTTCAAAGACGTCCTCGACAGCAAACAGCTGGTTGCTTAGTGAATCTGTGTGAGTGCACTGTGCTTTAACTAACTGTCCACGGTCCTATCAACGTCCCTTTCTTCTGTGAATGTGAGCCCATCTGTGCTTACTGGAGATGGAAGAAATAAACATTTTACAATACAGCAGCTCTAAAACTATTTCTATTTATAAAAATACTATAATCTATATTTTTTTAATACATTTTTTGCAACAATTCTGTCTGTATTTTGTACTTTTTTATGTTTTTACAATCATAAAACTTAGTTTACTTCACAGAATACGTTTTTTTTAAAGTTTTCTTACACACTTTAAAATCATGAAGACCAGGAAACCCCCAGACTGGAAACCACTGCATTAGAGCACCAAATGTGTATTAATCCACAGCTCAGCATCCACAATAGTCTCCAACCAATGCACCACTTACTCCTGTTTTTTGTTTAAGGTCAAACTTGTCTCTTAAAGAGCTGGATGGGAATATGGCTAACTAAAACACAACACAAAGAATCTGATCAAGCATTGAGTGATCATTTTCAATGCTTAAAAAGGTGCTCCAAACATAATCAGTATTGAGTTTCAACACCCGGCCCTAGTGCATGCGTGGGTATTTGAGTGCATGTTTAAGCCTCTGACCTGATGGCTCCTGGCGGCTGGGACAGAGTTGTCAGGAGCTCCCAGGAGGCCGGGCTCCACACGGTCACCACCTCCTGAAAGCTGACGGCCAACAGAGAACCATCGGCTGAGAAACAGCAGCACTCGGGCACCAGGTCGTGATAGGCTCCGACGAAATCACACGACCAGGAAGGACCTTCATCTGTTGCCATGTTCGAGGGAAAGTAGAGATGGAGACAGACACCGAGAGTGTTGGATTAGCGAGAAATACTGCCTCATTTGGCTCAACCTTAACATTGAACTTGATGTGTAGAGTCTGGCACTGGCACTTGAGTCTCATTAACGAAAGGGAGATGATTACACATGTTTTCATCTCGTCACAATTTGACTACAGTAATTCTCTTTTGAAACAAAATGAAACAATCTTCCTTCGTTTTTTCGTCTATATGTCAGATTCTCTATCACTAGGATCTCATTCACGAAGGTCAGCCTTTGTTTGTAATCAGGTGCTTGAGCCAGTTCTTTGTGAAGGCCTTCTTACCGACAGCTAGGAGACTCTTGACCTAGTATACCTTGGACACGGTTTTAGACTCAGGGAGATTGTGCTTTCCAGTTGGCAGCCTCTAAGCCTCCTTGGAATAGTCTCCCAATAAGCTTGAGGCCTTTTGGACTCATTTAAAAAAGGAGCAAAACATTCTGTTCACGGAGCAGCATGTGGAAGTTTATGATTTGTGTCTCATGTCTGTCGCCCTTGTATATTTTATCTATTGTTTTATTTATTTGATTTCATTTCTTTGAACATGAAGCACTGGTGTCTGCGAAAGGTGCTATAGAGATAAACTTGATTCCTGCTGATGTCTCTCCGGCTAAAAATGTAACAATCGTATAATCACGGCTGCACAAAGCACTTTGGATAAAAGCATCGCCTGCACGGCACTGATGGTAGGCAGGTTTTCAGCTTCACGGAGGTAAGAAGTGGTTTGTCTGGTTGGTTAGTTACGTATGCGAATAATAGGGCTACAATTGAATGAATTGTTAAAAAATGGCAGAAATGCTGTTTTCAGCCACTCAAAAGGTGGAGATTTGTAACTCTTCTCTCTTTTACCTTGGACTTTTAACTTGTTTCTGTCATTCTATAGAGCAAATGATTATTTAATTGATCTAGAAAACAACAGTCAGATAACGATAACGAAAATAATCATTAGTTGCAGCCCTAATACAGTATATACAGCAGTCTTACAGGTCAATTATTTGTTTAAAATAAGATGTTCACTGACCTACACATTGACCATATGAGGTTTTTCATTGAGATAAGATAAGAAAAGTGATTGATTTATTAGAAAATTTTGTTTTTCTCATCTTACAGGCTGAATTGCTGTGTCAGGTTCCCTACCAAAATCCTATCAATGAGGACAAATAACACAGAGCTCTTTTGACTCGTAAAGAACACAGAGCTCTTGAAGAATAAATTGAAAATACACAAGGAGCAGAGTAAACATTGCCACACTTTAACACAGCTCAGCCAAACTCTGCCTTTTTGGTTGAATGGACTGTCAGACACTGAGTTACACTGCTTACCCTCTGTGTGGGCCTGTGCAGCCAGCTGCCAGGCTTTGAAGTGCCCGTCCTTACTGGTGGAGGCCAGCATGGTGGTCTGGCTGTCGGCGGCGTGGCAAAAGCACATGGCTGTAATCTGGGCCTCGTGTGGGGCCGAGATGGTCGTGTTCAGCACAAAACTGCAGGTGATACAGTCAGCATGTTACAGGGGTGTGATTATTGGAGTACAATTTTAAACCAGTCTACTGCTGAATATGTCGCTCATTCCCTGAAACACTGTGTACAGTTTAGACGTCAGTACCTCTGTGTTTGTTCATCGTATGCCCACAGTTTCAGGTTCAGCTCCAGCTCAGCAGCTTTCTGTTTTCTTTCTTCCACCGTTGCCAGCCAGTTGCCAGATGCATTGAAGGCCGCCTTGACCACCTCAAACTGTTGCAGGCCCGACTCATGAATATACTCCTGCTGCACTATGTCCAGCTGTGGGAAAGATGAGAGAATTGAGTTGTGAAGACTAATTCACACCAAGGTGTTGACAGTATTATTGAGTGAGTTTGTGGATCAGAATAGAAGTTTTTTTTGTTTATAATAGAAATAAAGCTGTCTCCAAGTACTCATAACCATGCTTATGTTATTTCAGGTGCTGAATTACCACATTAGGTCAATAAAAGACTCCAAAAATGATCGCAGAGATGCTTACGTTGTACAGCAGCTTGTCTCTTTGGAGGGAGTAAAACTGCAGGTGACCCGGTTTCCCATTCAACACCAGGGATTTGCTGCGTGGGTCCATCATCAGGTCTGTCCTGACACTTTCTCCTGCACAAAGATACAAAATAAAGAGTGAGAATCCACTGGTAACCTGACAGATTCAAACCTTGTTTTTACTCTTTTTGATGTGTCATATAAAGAGTAGTTTGGTGTGAGGGACAGAGAGGAAGAATAGGTCAGAAATTCATGAAAGAGTACAATTCTTATTTCCGCCTACTGATGCAGAATAAAACAACCGCAAATGATACACTGTCAATCTGATTGAACATATACAAATATACAATACAATTTCTGGTCAAATATGACATGAAAAGACAATTTTAATTTTCTTTAATGGTCTTTTATTTCCTTAAATGTTTGTCTTGTTTTATCTGGTTGATTTTTTTATTTATTTAAATTTGATGATTTTATTAATTGTGTTTTATTTTATTTTTTGTGAAGCACTTTGTAACATGGGTTTAAATGTGAAAGTGCTTTTATAAATAAATATTATGATTGTTACTGTAACACTTTCTAAGGAGATAAAAACATAATTTGCACCACATTAACAACAATAAGACCTGGAAAGAATTTCCAGGTTAAAAAGGCATCACCAGGGGTTTGATATGTTTCCTTAATTTCTCTTTTTAATGTCTTTGGTCAAATTTAGTTATTTACATCTTTGCACAATTACAGTGTGAACAATGTGGGTGATTAAAAACCAGTAGATTAAAACCTTTGTCTATAATGGACAATGAACTTTCTTAGAAGCAAGATTGTTTTCCAAGAACTGTAAAAGGTTATTTATGATATATATATGTTTATTATCTATGAGTCCATACAGCATGTTTATGATCAATCTACATGCTGTGCCACCTACAGTCTGTACTCACCTTTGACCAGGCCCTGAATAACAGCAGACACTTTAACACAGCTCTGGATGATTGTGATCTCTGAAACAAGAAGAGACGTTAAGAAGTTAAGTTACCACAGCTTGTAGTTTATAATGAACTCTGAGTCTTATCAGTTAAGGACAAAGATGTGACCTGTGTCTCTTATTAGCAGAAAAATGTGCTCTCAGATGTAAAGCTTATGGCATTACTGCTGAAGCTGGAAATACATTAAGCTGTAGTACCACTAGATGCTGGCTTTTAAAAATGTATATACACTGTGTCCACTGTGCTCACTGTGAATCATCTGTGTGTATAATACAGCTCCTTACTGTTGTCACTGTGTGAGGTACAGAACAGCGCTCCATCAGGTGAGACGGCGATGTGTGTGATGGCAGCGCCCAGGCGGGGCAGGAAGTCTCGCTGGCTCTCTTGGTTGTATCGCCACTGGACGAGCACCGACTCTATGCCTCCGCTCAGCAGGTTGGTGCCTGGGGAAACAAAGCAGATATAGATACAAATCATGAGCTAATCTGGTCACTCTGGACTTTTTGTTTTGTTTGTTAAAATATAAGTGACATTAATAATCCTGGTATGAAATGCATCTACCTTCTGGGGTGAAGCACAGAGAGCTGACAGCACTGTGGTGCCAGTGCAGGGTGGAGTACGTGTACTCCTTCTTGTGGTTGAAGTTTCTCCTGAAATGGACAAACAGTGACGTAAGAAAAATAAAGTCTCTCCACTTCACCTGACGAGCTACATTCACACATGTATAAACACACACTGCTTTACAAAAATAAAACTAGAAGAGCGCACTCAGCAGATCTCCGCCAGGCGTGTCCTGGTACCAGATCTACTTGTGCTCCTGCATTTACAGACGATGTAATACAGATGCTCCGGCTCAAGATGAGAACAAACTTTGCTATGGGAGTCCGTTTTTGGGCCACAACTGAAGGCCAAAATGTGGCCAGCAACAGACTAAATAAGCCGTTTTCAGCAAATGCCAGGCTAATATAAATATTAGGCTGAAGGGTCCAGCAGGAGGTAGGATTAGCATGTGGTCAAACACACACACACACGAAGCCTGGAGAGGATAAAAATGGGAATAATTCAGGAAAAAATAGTGACAGGTAAATTTGGAGAAGAGGAGTTGACAAAATGTTGTAGAGCTTCTTTCCCAGCATGATAGGGGGAGTAGAGTTCACTCTGTGCAGCGATCAGGAAAACCCAAGTGAGCAGCAGATCTTTAGACTAAACAATCAAAATCACCAAGACAAAGGGTGCGAGTGCTTCAAGGCCAGGTTGTTGCTTCACTCACCACAAGCGAATCTTTCCATCCTCGTGTCCAGTGGCGATGCAGTCATCTTTTGGGTGACAGGCAACACACATGAATGTGTTCTTGCCTCCCTTCTTGTTGTCTTCTTTGAGGGGAAATCTATTGAACAACGCACACAGGGTCAGACAGACATACGGTGTTACTTATCACTGAGGCTTTGTAGGATAGTGAGGGTTTTGTTACCAACAGGTTTTATGATAAAGATTCACTCTTAAACATTTTGTGTCTAATTATAGAGAGATAAAGTATTTGTCATCTTAAGTTGTGAGCAGTTTGTGGTTTTACTTGAAACCCGTTTAATTCATTTTACATCTCCACACCTCATAACTGAAGCATCACACACAGTGACTCACCTGTATGCCTTCTGTTTCTTGAAGAAGTAGACCTCCAGCTGCAGCCCATTAGCTGAAGCAATATATTCGCCCTGTGAGGAAGATAACACTTGTTTGTTAATACACACTCTACATTCAATTTCCAGGGCAACATCAATTATTTCCAGGATTTCTAGTAATTTTAATCAATTTACAGGTGTTCTCAGTGACTGTAAAACTCCAGGCTTCTCAAATGTTGTAGTATTTCAATATGTTTTTAAATACATTTATTTAATATATTAAAAACAAGCCAGAGATTCTTTTGCATACCACTAGAGGCAGCACACGTACCACGAGTAGTACACGTACCATAGCTGGAGAACCAGTGCCCTACATTATTTTGGCCCAGCAGAGAAGTCTGTCAAGGTCAACAAGCTTTCTGATCAATATCCCTCTGATTATATGTATTTCAAGAAGGTGTGTTGGTGACAGTGACGGTAGAGTTTGTACCCCTCTGCCGAAGACGATGGCCGCTGGGTTGGAGCTGACGTCGCTGAGCACAGCAGAAAGCTCTCGGGCCTCCACCAGCTGATCTCCGCTCTGTGGCAGTTGTACCGCAACCAGCTGGAACATCTCTGCACGCGCACACACACACACACACACAATCAAACATGAGCTTATTACACATTCTGACCCCTTACCCACTTTCTACTTCACAAATGTTAAAAGCCTCCACGAGAGCGAGTTCACTTTTTCTGTAACTGGCGACTCCTTGTGGAAGTATTACGACAGAGACACTGTAACAGACGTCATCATCGTGTCAGACTGATCTGAGCTGCAGACACTGGATTTAATGGACTGAAACATCACACAGATTTTAACACTTTTCACCAGGATTGTCAAAGAAACACTTTTCTGACCTTTAAATAAGTTAAAAAAGATAAACATGGAGGTTTTAACATGTGTAAAAAGCTCTTAGTTTGGGTGATTTTTATTCTGATATTTAAATGTATTGCTGCCTTCATTTGAATAATAGGCCGCTGTAAGTAGTGATAGTGCATCTGCAGTTTGTTTGGCACCATTTCAGCATTATTATTGATTACGCTCCTCTTTTTTTGGGTCTCATATAGCTGAATGAGTAAGTGTGTGACATTAACTGCTAAAAAGGTTTACACGGAAATCGGCAACATTAAAATTGCCCGCTGACATGGTGTCTAATGGATGCTGAGCTTGGGCATCAAACTAAAGCAATAACCAAAGAGAGAAAAGATGTCGAACCTACCAGATCTTTTGTCGCTCTGCGCGGGAGTAACGAGAAAGATGACTCCTTCATGGTTTGCAGATGCGTAGATGGAATAAATCGGGTATCCGATGACATAAGTCTGGAAGAGATCACACAGCTGTCACACACGGCTGCCAGAAATCAGAGGGAACAACAACACTAACTGATCTCGACCCAGGAGTCCTTCACTGCTGTGTCTCTACGTATGCAGTCACACTTACGGTGAGCCGATGATAAATATACAGGTAAGCTCATTCTGCTGCTGAACTGTGCAGCTATTTTAAATGCATAATGTCCAAAAAACAATCAACATGTGCTATAAAATAGATGAAAGGTTCATTTTTAAATCGGTCGATGTGCGCAGAGTTAACTTTAGTGTGTGGAAAATAATGTTTAAAAAGGGTAGGATGTCAATTTCTACTCCACACTAACTGGTCGGGGGCTGCCCTTAATATGGAGAAGACCCAACATGAATGTACAAACAGAGCCGAAGTGGACACAGATTGGGACGAGACACTGAGACTGGGAGGGAAAAACCATTTAAGAATCAAGTCGTACTTTGATGAGGATGCCGTCTGTGAAGTCCCAAAGTCTGACAGTGCCATCTGCTGAGCAAGAGTAGACCTGCAACAAAAAAAAACAGGTGAGGGATGCATCGTCACAGGAGAAATTAAAAACAATAAAATCCTTATAAACAGCAACTACTTATATTCTATTTCAGTAAGTAAAGCATGGAGCATCTGAGAAGCACAACCATCCAGGATGTGCTGGAGTTTGGAGATATTCATGAATATGTAGCCCGCTGATCAATAAAATAATAATAATAAAAATCTTAAAAAGGCACTTTGTTGTGCTCAGAGTGCCAAAAACTTAACTTTAGTAAAACATTAGTAAAAAGTTGTTCTTCATTCATAAAAAGGTTTTCACTCCAAAATCAATTAATCAATTAATCTTTCTCCATTGATGAATCCATACAAATTGTAAGTAAGGAGAATAAAAGTCAATTAATCAATTAGACTTTCAACAGAAATATTGCCGTCAATTATTCTGATCGTATCTTGAGATCTGCACGTGGCAATATTACAGTTTTGATATGTTTTATTCTAAAATATTATTTTTTTGGCCTTTATTTGATAGAGAGACAGACAG